CCTCCCATCTGCCAGACCGAATCCCAAAGTTGCTTACAAACAGAGATTCCTCCCAGAACAAAGTTGCCTGCACAGAAAGCTCTTGCTGCTCTTGGAGTGTCCAGCCTGGCCCACCCACTGCACCACAAAGCCAGAGCTTCCAATCTTTCTTTCCTGGGGAAAAGGGCTGTTGTTTCCTCTTTTCAGACTTGCCTTCCAACTACCAGCCCTACTCCCAAAATTGCATACTGACGAAGATTCCTCCCACACCAAAGGTGCCAGCACAGAAAGCTCTTGCTACTCATGGAGTGCCTGGCCCACACCTGCACTACAAAGTCAAGGACACAAAGCCTGGGAGCTTTGGCGTTCAGGTGCAGTTGGTGGGGCAACCTGGGCACTCTGTGGGCAGCAAGAGCTTTCTGTGGTGGCACCTTTTCCCTGGGAGGAATCTTCATTTGTATCAATTTTGGGGAGGTGGGACTGGCTATTACCGGGCAGGGCTGAACAGAGGGGAACAGCAGCCCTTTGCTCTGCATGTAGATTATATGATGTACAATAGGTCATGCAAAATGAGCAGGGAATTTTTTACATGAGAGTTGGAGGGACCTAAAAAAGAAAAATCTGGCACATTTAGATTTGCTTAAGGTTCCATTTCCTTGAAGAGCTGCATTCTGTCTCTCTGGCTTGTTACCTACGTGTTGCTACAATGCATAACATTTTAATTAGGTGGTCCCTTTGTCAGCACTTCAAGTCTGGCTTCATTCAAAAGGTTTTTACCTTTGAATTGTTGGTGTTCAGCATCATCACATCCACTAGATGTCACTCAGTAGTCATAATTTCCAGCATTGACATAAACACACACAAAAAAGAGGACAAGAATTTTTTTCTTCAGACTCAGAATAATGTTCTTTTAAAAATTTTTGTAGTCACTGTTTAAAAATTCGTTGTCTGAAAGATTTTCATCATCACTTCAAAAATTATAACTTTAAGCTGATCCCATCAGAAGCCCTGGTTGCCATCTGAAAGTCATGTATTCCTTTAGTAAATGTGATTCTTCTTGGAGTGTGATGGACTTGATGCTAATGGATAATTGTGCCTCTCAACCATGAACACAATGATCAACATTTTGATCTGCATAATGCCTAATGACATTGATCTTCAGTGCTGTTGTTTTCTAGGTTATATGTTCATGTCCTGTGGGGTTTTACCCTTAAGAATTGTTTTGAATCACATCCCCCAAAAACATCTATTTACCAGGATGGATGGAGCCTGTCTTAAGCTGCTTGCAATGGTGTGTCTCTACCTGGACATTCTCTAGCTCCCAGTTCCAGGCATTTGTTCTCATATGCCTTTCAGAACTGAAATCACATCACAGTGCATTTGCCTGTTCTTGAGAAACTAAACAAAGAAATTGTTCTCTAGCCTTCAAAGATTTTATTGTCTTTTTCCATACTCCCTCTGGCTTCCAAACAGCCTTTTCAAAATATAGATACTAAAACTGTTCCCAGTATTGTAACACCGAAAACACTACATATGGGGAGAAAACAGCTTCACACCCTTCACCCACTTATTACTGTTTTATGTCATTTTCTTTCAGAAAGAGACTTATAACTTTGTTATGATGTATTTGGTTCTTATTTCAGGGCTACCTTGCTGTCCTACCTTTTACTAGATTTGTATTTTCCCTGATGTTGATAGTGTCCCTCATGAATTCATATGTTCAGTATATATTGACAGTTCATTTATTCCCCCAGAGCCCAAAGGAATACTTGCTATCCGAGGAAGCCATAAAACTTTATCATCTCTTGCCCTAATCACCAGCAACAGTGACATTTTCAAACATGTACTGCAAAGACTTGCAACAAATTCTGCTCAAGCTGGATATTCAACCCCAAGGCTCAAAGCGAGGAATGCTAAAAGTGTTTATTTACTATTCTATGCAAATTTCTCCTGACACGCCAATTAAACTGGCTATGTAATTTGCAGAAAGAGCCTTTGTGAAAAGCCACAGCCAGGTTGGCTCCCCTGTGCCAGGATGCTTCAAACATACAATGAATGATACTTTTGGACCAACTCACATTAAATTCTTGCATTGATGTAGGGTTCCAAGATCTTCCTTAATCACATGGAAAACAATCATAGAATAATAATTTTCATAACTGATTATTACAAGGGCAGGACAAAAAAAAATAAAAGAAAAGAAAACATATGGATTGTACAGAACTAAATACTTTTTTTTCAGCCTCTGTTATTCCCTTTCTCTTTTGCCACCAGAGTTTTAACATATAAAGCATGCTGTTTGGCAAATCTATCAGAGGGTGCTAACAAGGGAAATAACTAATGTGCCTTTTGATGGCAAAGAAAAACAGATGCTGAAGTGAGCTGGAATTATTGTTTCTAGTGCTGTTTCTGGTGAACCTTGATCTTCTTTCCTCAAGACAAAGCAAGTGTGAAAGGGGCAGAAAATAAAAAGAACTATGGAGATTAAAAGAATGCAGTTCAGTTTCCGAGGCCCTCTCTCACTTGCTATCAAAGAGTGGTAAGTTCCCAGCACTAGGTCTTACCTGTTGTGAATAGGTCTGACACACCTCCACAAATCAGAATATTTGAAACTTTGCTTGAGCAAAGCAAACCAGTCCTAGCTACCAAAGCTGAACTCTTGAACAAGAGCAAAAGGAGAGGAAGAGAAGGGAAGAAATACACAACACACTGGGAAACAGGAAAAAAAAAAAAGAGGGGGCAGGTGGGGACAGAAAAAGCGAGGTCAGGACTTCAGGTGTCATAGTCTGGCACTGACTAGAATTTTGTTAAAGCCAATGGAGATGGTGGTGACATGGGGGTCCCTTTCAGCTACACAGTGCAATCAGGACATGGTTCAAGAGAAGGTACAGTTCTGCTGTACTTTTGATATGAGGGCTCACTGTCCTCTGGCACTCTCCAGCAGCACTGTTGCTCTCTGGACATGAAGACGGAACGATGGATTGAATAGCTTAAGCTTTCATTGCTTTGGTTACTGTTTAAGTGAATTCCCAGCTCACCAACATTACTCCATCAACTTCTCCCACTACACCAGCTATTTACCCACCTTAATATTACCACATTTGTTTTGCTTGTTTGGACTGGACTAATTCACATTCACATTTGTCGACTTTGAGCTCATAGGCTGAACTGAAGCATTTTTTCCTTTAGAAGGCTTAAAGAAGCAGTACCCAAGGAAATAGGTTTTGAGGTCTCATGATATGACAACTAGAACTGCATATCATTTTAATCCAAACCACGGGACTGCATTTGCTATAAGGCAAAGTTATTTACTCCTGTGAAATTTGGAACAAAACAGGTGGGAGCTGCAATGTTTCACGGTTTTGTTTGTAGTGAGGCATATTTCAAGTTACCTGGAGACTCCAAGCAGAACAGAGGTTGTACAAACAAGTGCAGAAATGGTTTCTCCTCCGCAGAGTTATTATGGTACAGAAGTAGACACACAGTCAAGACGCACAAGGAAAAACATTCCAAATTGTCCAAAGTCAATGAGCCATTCAATAGATTTCTGACTTCCACGTCAATGCTTTATCTGTCCCACACTGATAGGAAATGAGTATTGAGGGCAATCTTACCGCTCTTTGAAATAATGGACATTTGCTTTTCTGGTAGTTAATTCAAAGCAGAATCTATTTTCAAACAGCAGTAGATGTGTCAGCTGGCTTACCTGGCTGATGTATTTGATCAGATACTTACACTGTCCTATGAAAGATGGAGAACACAGCATGGCAGAGGGGAAATTACTGCACTTATAAAAAAAGTAAGCATGCAGTAAGGAAAGAGTAAAAATCAATGACTTGACTTTACATAATCCCTTTGTTGCTACTGTGCAAGGTTGGGAAGAACAGTCTATGAGTTGAAGTCTGAGATGAAAGAAATAACTGAGTAACAACTCCTTCCAGTGAAGCAGCTGTTAATTGTGTTCATCAGTCCAGTGAATGTAAAGGGAAATTAAATGAGCTCCTGCTCTTTGAAGAATTTTTTTCTTCCATTGTCATTCATGGTGCCAGTTCCAGGTGCCTGCACTGAAAGGTCACTCTTGTTGCTGGCTCTGAGTCCTTAGTACTGTCACTAAACGTTTTGGACCTGTGTAAGCTTTTCAACACCTTCTCTGCAGGATTTGTGATAAAAGAAAGAAATCCAGCACGAAGACATAAGCTACCTGTGTCTTGGAAGTAATGTCATACCTTCCCTGAGAAAACAGAGTGCACCAGGAGCTGAGACCAACACAACTCAGAGAGTCTCTGGGCTGGTGCTGAAGGAAGTAACTTAACCTCTTGCCTGTCTCTGTTCAAAGTGGAGATAGTACAGCAAAGACACACAGCTGGTTTAAGTGTTCAGAGGGAGTGAGTTTTTGTGGTAAACCCCATTCCCCAGATGTAATTATCCTTTTCTTAAGAAAAAAACCACATTTCCCCTCACCAGTGTTCCTCTATTGCTGTTTCTGGTGTCTTGTTCTTTTATAAAGGGTTTCTTTCTTTTTTTTTTCCTATTATTTTTTATTTCTCTTTAATCTTCCCAGAATAAGGACTTTATAATCTTATAATCAGCACAGATATTAAAGCATTCAAATTGAGAACAAGAGAAGTTGAAACCAAGTCTTCAGTGATTACTATGAGGCTTCTCTCAAGAGAAGACTCAGCTACATCACCTGGGGACCCTGAAAAGTAAAACAAAGACACCTCAATTCAACCAGGATGTCCCCTGTATGAGATCCATACATCCCAAATCTCCTAACCAGGTAACAACACCAGGTACACAACACAAGGCAAGCTGTTCACAGGCAGCCTACAAACTGTCCAAGGACACCAAGGGGAGAAGGCACTGCACAAAGTAATTGCAGATGCAGTTTCTCAGGACTCCTTCCTCCCCATCTCCCACACTCTTTGGAGCCATGTGGCACAACAGCACTGTGTGAAGTAAGTATTTGACAATGAAAAGTATCTCAGATCAGAGAGAGACCTTAAACTGAGCTTAGCTTAGGTAGCTATTTCTAATCTTAAAGGCCATTTAAGCAAAGTATCAAATTTTCTTTTGTTTTCTCTAAAGACAGAGAGAAAACCATAAATCCCAAGACTTGAACATATAACTTTTTAAAAGCTTTAAGAGGAAGGAAGTCAGCCTCCAAATGAACTCTAAACCCTACAATAATTACATGAAAGGGACATGAAAACATGAACTGTCTTCTTGAGAACTGCAACATTCTTTATACAGGAGATACTGTCAAAAAGACTGATGTGTTAAAGGTTAGTCTTCCTTTTGAATAGCAGCAGGTTGGTGAGTACAAAGACAAAGGAGTTTTTAAGGGGTACTCTGGAACTCTTACACCGCTGAGCTTTGCACAGGAGCAACAGAGATTCATGCAATAGGGAGTCCTCCAGGCTAACAAAAGTATTCAAATGACAGTTTTAAAGTTTAGATTTACAGATGGTTTTATTAGTTGCTCAGGGAGCAAGGTACACAGTAGATACTAAAAGGCTATCTGTGCTAGAACTGCAAAAGAAAATCTCTTAATCCTTCTTTTGGTTAGGCAAATGTGCATCTTTTCCATACTCTGCATCTTTGCAGCAATAAGTGGAAAGGGTAATTAAGTCGTAGTTAGGAATCTGCTGAGTGTTGCATGTCCTTAATGTGCTTTAAGGAAATTCTAGCATTACAGATGCATGGCATTCCTATTACTTGATAATTGCGTTTTAAAGTTTGGCATTTTAATTATGCTAATATGCGTGGGGTTATATTTTAAATTTAGTACCTTATTTTATGGACCAAGTGCTATAAGTTCTTGCCCCTAAAGTAGTAAGATGTCATGGAAATCTGGACTGTAACATCCCATCACTTTATCCTTATAGTCTAATTAAATGCTGACATTGTTTAAATGAGTTAAATTGAGTATGTTGGGTTTGTGTGTGTCTTGCCAATTCAAAGCAAATTTAAATTAAGAGCCTTTATGAGAGTTTCATACTCCTTCTGGCGTGTTGCATTATTATATCGTAATAGATGTAATTTGGAAGATTATATCACTCCTTAATTCGTTCTCCCAGTTGTTTAGGAGACAAATTTGGGCTCATCAGTTTGGGTTGAATGTTTTGTTGCCTGTTTTAGCTATGTGAGTAACCAAGTAACTCTTATAGAACCACTTTTAAAATTCAAACACGGACAATGCAGGATGCTGGGGGAGGGCTGTGTTTTTAAAATGGACTGGTGATCCAAATACCAATTCAATTCTTGAAACACCTGTCTTGAGTAACATGTAAACAAGCCTCTTTTCAGAACAGAGGTGCTTCATGTTCTCTAGAGAATCACAGTACTCTTAGTTTTCTCAAGTCTGGCAGACAAAATGATGAGCTGTTTTGAAAGCTTAGGCTAAAAAGGAATTATAACAGAAATTCTTAGAACTGATTATCCTTCTCAAAATGGCTTGCATACACACAGACCCTGGCTCTAGGCTGTGCTCTATTATCTATGTGTAAAGTCTGTTCTATGGCTGAAAAATAAATAGGGGCAATCAGTTATGTCCTGTCTATTTTAATTCTGCAATTGCATCAAAACAGGTGGACAAATGAGGATGATTTGGCTACAAGACTGTGGCACCACTCCAGTGAGTCAAGAACCTTTAAAGGAGACAGAAAGTGCAAGAGAAGAGGAACTTACCCTTCTGTATCTTTGTAAGAAAAGCAAAATACTATAATTGTTAGGAAGTTTTAATGATACTAAAAAAAAGTGATTAGGCCATCTGGGTAGGAAGTAGTTGAAAGAAATTAAATGAAAGTGGGAAAAATTACTAGAAAGTGAGGATAGTGAAAACCAGAAAAGATTGTGAATAGAAAAAACACCATCCATCAAACTGATCAAAGAATCAGAATATGAGAAAAAATACAGTAAAGCTATCCTGAGTGAAAGCAGATTTTGAAGTTTCAGGTGCATTTTTGCTAACTGATCATCAGCCCTCAAAACCATTTAGCATCTGAAAGACTGTACTGTATATGAAATCCTGTTAGGATGATTAAGAGATCCCACTGATGCTTAAAACAGTTTGTATTTATTTACCTGTGACTTTTATTTCTCAATATGTTTACTCTTGCCTCTTTTTCATGGATAAGGTTACCTAACATTAGTGAAAAGAGATGAAACTAAGAGAGTGCACCACGGTAGAGATGGATACAAGGTAAATATGTACTCCAGCGCAACCATAGCTTCCGATCCAACACATATCTTGGAAGGTGTGAAACATAACCAGCAGTCTAAAAAGTGTAGCTCTGGGGACTGATGTCCTTGGTTTTGGGGGCAGAGGGAGACAGCAAAGGGTGGAAATGCAGAAGACTGCAGAGAGACACCTGACAGCTATGAGTAAATCCAAGTCCCTGAGGGGAGGTGCTGGTGTGCACACAAAGAGGCTGGAAACACCTGCTCCAGGAATAAGCTTGAAAGGTTTCACACCTGATAACCCACTGTGCTTCCTCTCCAGCAATCAAAGAGGCATCACTATGCTGCTGGTATGATTATTTTTAAGTTCTATTTGCAATTGCTTGTCTACAAGAGGAATGTTTAAGCAAATGAAGGCAAATAACTGCTGGCATCAAGTCAATGTCTGCCATTCAACTATCATCTCTTAGTTTCTTATCCTTTTTACTGATCTGACTCATGTCACTGAAATTAGAGGAACCAAGGGGAAAAAATGAAATTTACCTCAAAGTACTGGCATTTTTACAGATTTACCTTTGTATTTATAGCATATTTCCTGTTCTTCACACTAACAAAAATACCCGGTGCCTCCAAGCACCACTCTCTAAGTAATGTCCTCCTACCATCTCAGCATTTAATAGTGGAGGGGGAGAATGCAGAACCAGGAGTGATTGTGAATCTTTATCACAGGATTTCTCACCAAAAACCTTTAAGAGGAGACTGAGAACAAGAATGTTTAGGACCATAAATTTATATTACTTTTCCTCACCACGATGAAGAGACTGAAAATAAAAATTAAGATACTTTTACAGAGACAGTTCTGATCTTTGCCTTCCACCTGCCATCCCAGTAAGACAGACAATGGTCTGCCTAGCACAGAACAGAGCCACTCACCTCCTGCCTGCTCTCAATAAGCATCTGATTCCCTGAAAGAGCTGACACCTTGCTCCCAGTACAACAAATCAGTCTGGACAGTCAAGAGAGACTTTCACTGTGAGGATTTGAAACTAATTAATCCTAGTCACCAGGTTTTACCTGTTAGCCTTTTCCCACTAGGCAGGAATGAGTTCAAACACAGACCAACCTGTGGTTGTGAAAAAATATTGCATATACTCTTACCACTCATACATATTAGGCAGGGACAAAGTGGTACAAATTAAATTAAAATGCCCAAATCACACTTAATTGTAACATTTCCTGGGTTTTGAGTACTCAGCAAACATCTTTAACCAATATGTAATGTTAAACATTATAAATGGTATGCTAAAAATACCTGTATCCTAAATTCCTGGGAGAATGCAGTCTGGACCCCACTGGTGGTTGCCATTTGTGCAGGGGGTCTAAGCTCCCATCCACTTTTTGGGTCACTTTATCCCTGTGGATACACAGAACATGCCTCTACACATTAATGATGGCAAGAGATGCATTACTTGTCACATGGGGTTAGAAAAAAAACCTTTCTCTGTTTTCCTTCTCTTCCACAGCCACACAGGACCAGTTGTACTGTGGCTTTCTGGGGGTCAAGTTGAAATTGCATTCTATTTCAGACTCCATAAGCAGTGAAAATGTTCTCTGTCTGTGTGTACCAACATTCATGCATCTTGCTTAATGCAGCTATTAAATTAAAAGATCCTACTGGTTCTAATTGGTCTTCCTGAGTCAAAGTGTTTATCCATTCCACTTAAGGTAAAGCTCCATAGAGAGTCTATTTATAAATATTACCAACATGGTTAATGCTTTTGACCTTTGATGGTGAGCGATTCTAATGGTTGTGCAACGCAGGAGCAACGTTTTTTGTTACTATTCTGGATGTTCTTGTTCGGGAACAGTCTGATGGCCTCTATTTCCCTCTTTCTCTAATTTTTAAAGTCTGCCAAATAAAAGGAATTATTTGCTCAGAGTGCAGACGGACTGAGTTTTGCAGCAGCTCATGAGCAATAATCCATAGAACAGTGCACACATCAGCTTCTCAGAATCCACCCCACCAAAATGCACCAACCTTGTGCCAAGGTTTTTTACTGTATTAGAGCCAAAATGAACATGAGGGGAGGACAAGGTGCCTGCATGTGTGTTCATGGGGTAAAGTGTCTCCAGTTATATCTTTCTCGTATGAGTGATGCAACAAACTCCTGGACTCTAACTTAGGCCAGTTGAGGGGAGATTAAGGAGGGCTGACTAAAAATACTTAAATAAGGCAATTGCTTAAATTATAAAAGAGGACTGGGTCTACTTTAAAAAAATGTGAAAAATTTATTAAATTATTTCATTATGTTTTCTTCAACACTTGTATTTATTTTAATTTACTGCTTTAGCAGTTGCATGCTCCCACCCAGACAGTTCCTAGGTAGCTACCTGTGGGGAGATTGCCTGAGCCATAGGGGCAGCACCTCAAGACAAATGGAGATACTGTACCAGCTACATTCCTGTATAGCTGAGCTCTTTGTTCCCCAGATTTTTTCAGTAAACAGCAGGCTGGAAGAAACTAATCAATGTTAAACCTCAATTCCTAATCCAGACATGGGATCAGGAGCAAGGGAGCACAGGGCTGGTGAACAGCAGGTGCTACAGGTGAGGGAAGCAGATGGGGCAGGATGCCTGAAAACTGAGTTCCTGGTTTCCTACTTTCCTGAATTGCTGGTTTCAGATTTTTTTTCTTCTGTTTTAGCTGTGTAGGAATTAGATTTAAACCTTTGGTTTGCATTGCAGAAGAGGGAATCTGTGATGAAAGAAATATTGGCAGAGTTCCTTCATCCTTTTTTGAGCTGTAGGAATGAAGCAGGCTATGCCTTCCTAATTGTTAAGTTCTCAGCAAAAAAAAAAAAAAAAAAGGCAGGATTCCCAGCATGCATTCTGGTCTGGGAAAAGGCCAGAGACAGGAGTACCATGCCAACCCAATGTCATCACTTACTGGCAATCTGCCACAGCAGAAACTGCACAGTTAAAAACTGTTTGGTGACACCAGCAGTTCGTATTTTCTTGCTGAAATGATGCTCATCTCCTATATTGAACCTTTAGAAAAATATAACAACTCCAACCTTAGTATTTTTCCATGTGAGGGGACAGGGCAAAAATAAAAATTGTTTGTCTGTATAATCTTGATATCCCTCCCAGACTGCTCCTGGGATCCTGAGGAGAAGAATAAGAGAACACCATTGTATGTATCCTTTAGAGACAAGCAAATCAATGTGTGAATAAGGTAAGGGTTACACCCCAGAGAAGCATCGAAGATGCCACTTGTGCCGAGCAATTTCTGTGTGAAATCCAGATGTGTAGTTTAAATTTTCAAGGACCTAGGATACCATAAGCATCTTCATGCACTGCTGGACTCATGTAGCTGTCTTATCTCCTAGCTAGGGAATTCTGTCTGACAGGCATGCTCTGCTGCTCGCTGCCTCAACGTTGGTGTTTCAATCCAGACTGGGAACGACTTCTGAACCAATCCCAACTTATGGTACTTTAGTTCACATTAGGGACTGATCACAGCACATACACACATGCACACACACACAGTGGCCTTGAAATGAATCTCTCCCAAAAGGTGAGGACTGGGTGGGCATCTGATCCAGCTCCTCATGGGCTCTCTGCACACAGGCCAAGACTAGAGCCAGCCCAGAGGAAAACCTCTCAACCTGTGTGACTGCTGTCTCTTCTGTACCAACAGTTTTGCTCTGCAATTTGGGCTGCAATTTGCTGAGAGACCCTAATATAAAACTGCATGGTAGCTCCGGGGATCTCCAAGCTAAAAACAAATGTTCCAAAGTGGTGGGGGACTCTTGCTGTCCTGAATCCCTGTGATCCTCAGCCCCAGGCGCGTTCACAGCTCCCTCCCTAGAGAAGGGCTGAGCCACAAGGACTCCTCCCCTTGAAGAACTGGGGGTTTGAGGAGCTGAAATATTCCCTGAGTGCATAGCCAGGAGAATTATGTGGTAGCCAAGTGGTAAAGACACCTCCCTGAGGAGAGGCTCTGCTCTCTGCCTGGAGGCAACTTGCAGTGCTTCACGCAGCAGGAGATATCAACTTCCTTGGTATTGGGAACCAAACCCAGGATCCCCCAGTATTGGCACCCACAGACCACCTGCCTGAGATGCTGCTCAGGTAAAACAACTCCAATTAAAATAAATCCACAAGCAGATACCACACCAGGGCCTTGTTTCCTGCAGTCACAAACTGCACGGTTGGACTCTCCTGCGTCACCTGTGGACCATCTGAAACGTGTCCCCAGGTTGCTTTTGGGGCATGTACCCCCCCCCCATGCACTGTGCAGGCAGTTTCAGCACCCTCTTGAGGTTCCTGAAAGAATTTGAGGAATTTGGAAGCAGCTGCCTGAAATGTAAGTGTAGTAATGCTCAGCATAACTACTCTCAGACTCACTGGTGGATCTGGGCCAGTGTGATGGGTCCAGCGCCGGAGCCAAGAAAATAGGAGTGGAACTCAGTCAAAATGTGCAAAACAAATGCCTAAATTACGTTTTTAGATACATAAGTCACAGACCGAGGTGGGTGCAACAGAAACACACTACCTACCTTTCATTTGCACAGCACAATCCAAAAGGAGAGGTATTTTTAAGAAGCCAGACTATAATTTCATTGTTCCTGTTGTTTATTGCCACCACACTGACGGCCTTTAATCCGGTGTTAATTTGAGTCAATAAGAGATTGTGTATGTCAGAGTGCAGATTGTGATCATTATTCTTGACACCCTGCTTGCAATATATAGCCTCCAAGGACACTTCTGTCCAATGTCTTAACCTTTTTCAATTGTGAATTACATTCTAGGAATTTTATTCCACGTTCATCTGCAAGGCTGCATACAACAGGGTGACAAACTCCACGTCCCCCAGTAATGGGACTGAGAGAGCAATGAGGGTAATGTGTTAATGCATGTCCCTTGGAGGACTTCCTGAACAAAGAGAAAAAAAAAAAGAAAATAAGAGAATCACAGAAAAAGGAGTAATTGAGAATATTCCTTCACACTCCTAGCCCGACAACATCTGTTCAAATTAGATTTTGTGAATTTGATACTATCTGAACAGCAGGTCTGGTCCATAAGCCACCAATAATTCTTTTTCCTTCCTTTCCCTTTTCTAATGAAATAGTCAGCTCTGAAACAGATTCCTTGGAAAGGAATATGTGCAAATGGATCTTCTTATGCCAAATAGAGCTTTATTAACATCAGTAAAATCAACAGGGGTATAAGGGATTGCTCATTAAAAGGTGGAATCTCTACATTCTGCCCTTCCAAGAACTGAAATATTTTAAAGACAAACATATTTCTGATTTATCTTTTCTCCCTGGTGACAGGCTGCTATTGGACACCTTATTTAATAGCTTCACAGGAACTCCCTGCAAAGGAGAGTGAGAAAATTTATCTCATCTGAAAATGGATTTTCTTTGAATGGGAAAATCCATGGATCCAGCTCACTTGGCATAAGGATTATCATTCTGAAACAAGCTTAAACTGTCATATCCATCCAAACAGGTTTGGGTTGGGGTTTTTTGGCCAGAATGCTTAGAAATAGAATGGGAAGGGATACCCTACAATTTAAGTCTCCCTGAGAACTGTAGTTTTTCTTCTTCTTTTCTTACTAAAGAATGGAAATTTAAAGCAAGAAGAGAATTTGTATATTTAATTTGACTACTAAAATTCACAATATGCAACTTTCAATGTCCTATGCAGAAGACTTCCTGCAGAAAAAAAACCTGTAAAATCCTATGCATGAGCATTTGAATCAGAAATGCTGGCACATTCATCAAACCACTGCATAATGCACTGTGTTCACAGTCATACAAGAATAAAAGAACAGTTGTGCCAGGCCAGATCAAAGATCCACCCCCTCAGCATGCAGTTTCTTAGAGCATCAAGTAGGGGTATCTGCAGATAACACACAGAGTAACACTTCTCCTGTGTTGTCTTTGGAAAACCAGCAAATCAAGGGCAATTAAAACCATTCATGAACTTCATCAGATGCTGCTAATGAAATTAAATTAAGCCATGACCTGGCTGTTTGCATACCATGAGCAGAAAAATAAGGGCCAAAATTAGTCATTACTGGCCCATTTGGTCACATCTAAAACTATTTCAATGGGTGAAATTATTTACAGGGTTTTTTCTTTAGCTAATAATTACACTTCACACGCAGTAAATTATTTGCTTAATGTTCAGCTACAAGTTAGAAAACTTCTGGGACATCTATGATCTTAGATCAACTTTTAAAGGCAAGGATAGTTTCTTTTAACAGCTTTTAGAGGAATTATTTTCCCTTCTAGGCTAATCTAAACAGCAAATCAATACCACAGAGTTATGTTATGCCTCCTTTTGCTGCAGAACAGCAAGCTGTTGATGATTTGTTTTTAGTAAATGACTTATTATATTACTAGAGAAGTCGTGTATTGTCTGTCTCTGGAATCACTATGCCTTTAGGATTTTTCTCCCTTACTGGATTATAGTGGCTTTTGAAGCCAGTGATTGGAAGAAAGTTTGTTTTATGGAAAAAATTCTGAAAACTTACACATGATTTCATATATATGGCATCTTTGTCATGTTAGGATCAAAAATCCTCCCCCACAGCTACTGATGAGAGTTCTCAGCCTTTTTAATGCTATTCAGTTATTCTTTTTTTATGCGAAGTAAGGAATGTCATATAACAATAAAAATTAAGCTGCTTACGGAAAATGTGCAATAATCCATCCTCAGTCAAGATAGCTAATGAATATTGGGATTCATCAAATTCTGCTGATATAAGAGGCTAACTGCATGCAGAACACATTTATGTAACGTTCTGGCAACAGACAAATATACAGCCTTTCTTTTAATTAGAAAATCTGTCTCTCCCTGTTTCATTCTGTGAGGCATAAACATGAATAAAATGTAGCTGCATGCTGCATGTACTGACTTATAAGTTCATTAAACAGATGTACATAGAAAGACCATTTCAGTTGGCAATGAAGACACCTGTGCTAAAACCCATTCAAACTGGGGATCCCCAACCGGGCACATACTGAAAAGGACAAAGCAATCTGACCTCTTGTTCTGCTGGTCACTGTACATGCAATGCCCCAGAAAAAGAGGCGTGTTCTTTAAGGGGATTTCAGAAGTGCAGGCATAAAGTCATAGAATCATAGAATGATAGAATCAGCTGGGTTGGAAGGGACCTCCGAGATCATCAAGTCCAACCCTTGATCCACTACTGCCGTGGTTACCAGCCCATGGCACTGATGCCACATCCAGTCTCTTCTTAAAAACCTCCAGGGACAGAGTATCCACCACCTCCCTGGGCAGCCCATTCCAATGTCAGATTACCCTCTTTGTAAAGAAATTCTTTCTAATATCCAACCTAAACCTCCCCTGGCACAGTTTAAGACCGTGCCCTCTTGTCTTGCTGAGAGTTGCCTGGGAAAAGAGACCAACCCCCACCTGGCTACACCCTCCTGTCAGGGAGTTGTAGAGAGTGATGAGGTCTCCCCTGAGCCTCCTCTTCTGCAGGCTGAACAGCCCCAGCTCCCTCAGCCTCTCCTCATAGGACTTGTGCTCGAGTCCCTTCACCAGCCTTGTTGCTCTTGTCTGGACCTGCTCCAGCACCTCAGTATCCTTCCTGATACGAACCTGCTGCGAAACGATGCGGCAACAGCAAGCACAAACACCACCCTGCCGGTGAAAAGCTCCAAAGGGAGCGGCAGAGCCATCATTTGGAAACACAAAGGGAAGGAGAAGGCTTCCCTGAGACCACAACCCACGTTGGAGTCAGTGATGAAAGAGGAAGCAGCAGCTGGATCGCCCCAGAGCCAAAAAATGAAGCACAGGGACTGTGCAAAAATATTTGGCTATTTAAGCTGCCACTGCTGAGGGGTCACAGCGTGGCTGCCCCTCCACTTGTGCCCACTGCACTGCTTCAGGTGGCTGGCAGGAAGAAACAAGGGAGCTGGACTGAGGTGGCTGTTAAGGTCTGGATGTTCTCTGCCTTTTCCTGCTTCTCTGTGTTTAACTGTCCTCCCCTCCCTTCCCTGCAAGTT